CTAAATATATGTATATATATATATATATATGTATGATAATATTATAATATTTTATAATTACAACTTATTATAATATAATAATATATAAATATAAAATAGAATGGTTCAGTGGCTTGTTCTATAACGCATAGAGATAAGTGCGTGCAAATAGATTACGCATGATATTACGTAGACATGGATATTACGTAATATAGATTACATGACACCCTCTATAAATAGCACATGACACCCTCTAAGTGGATATTACGTGGTGAAATAATAGCACATGACACCCTCTATAAATAACATTGTGGTGGACAGTGGCGGAACTTGGATAAAAAATTTGGAGGTGCCAAATTAATTTTTTTGTATAAATTAAATTTTTTACTAATTAAAAAAATAATAAAATTTCTCATTTTTTCTACTCAAAATAAACATGTAGAATAATGAAATCTAAATCATAAAAGACTATCATTAAATGCCAAAGGTTACCTGGAATAAAGGAAACCAAAGTAGTTGAAGTAAATTTCAAGATAAGTTGTGCACTAGTCTCCTATGAGATCCAAAATAATATATTTAACATAGCTCAAGCTACTTGTATTGTATAGTATCAGAGAGTTAACGTGACTGCATACACAAGACAGAATTCGAATCCCTAACCTTGCTTAAACGTGAATTAATCCCTATCACTAAACTACACACTTAGAGTATGTTTTTAATATCTTATTATATAGTCAATGTCTTTTATAATACTGAGTAACGTAATTTGAGAGACTGTCGACTCGAATAGTTATATGATTATGGTCGCTAAAATTAAAAGAGTGCACAAAATGTCATAAACCGTGAATATTTTAAGTTCAAAAGGTTAAGTGAGATTGATTGTGATCTTTAAAATTAATAAAATATTCAACTCATAAATCATCAGCGTTATATTTCGAAAAAATTCAATAAGATTCACCATAAACTTTAGGATCAAAAGATACAATATATTATTAAATTAATAAAAATGACAGAATGCATATGTAATTTTTTTTTTGGCGAATATACAAGGTGCATGATATCAAGTTTGATTTCGATAAAAAAAAATTCCTTTTTACATATTTGTTTGGTTTAGAAGATTCAAATACATTTTTAAAGTTATTGCAATGAATTTTGTCTCTTATAACAAAATTTCTTCTATATACATAGTTCTAGATTAAATTTCTAACGACATAATTTAGAAATTTAACTATTTATCAATTGTGTTGGTTTTTGTTAATTAATATATTTTTTTCATGGTCACAAGTATTTATCATTGTATAAATTTTTAAAGAAAAATTGTAAAAATCAAAATAGAAAAGAAAATAGCATTTAATAGTCTCATTATGCAAAGTTAGATAATGTTTTTAATGCTTCAAAGGAAAAAAGAAACACATAATAATCTTTTGTTTCAGTGAAAATAAATATTCAATGAAACAAATAAAAACAAACTTGTAAAGTTATGACACAAATTTCTTCCATATTTCCTGTTTTAAGGAAAACACGTTTCCTTGATTTTAGGCCATGATTCCATGCATGGTTTTCCTCTTTTTTGCTCCTTGTTTTGTTCTAGGTTTCCTTATTCTGGGTGCATACGCTTCTTCTCAATGCCTATATAAGGCATCAAGCATTTGGAGCAAATTGCAATTGATTCAGCAATCTACACACTTGAGAAAAATCATACATAGAGAGGAAAGATTCAAGAGAGTATTTTTAGTCTATATTTGAGAGATTATCTCTTTGTTCTCATGATATTAGAGAACTTCTTGTACTCTCCTATTT